GGAGGTCCGTAGCTAATTTAGACTTGAAATACCGAAAGGTCGAATTTTGAAGTTTCCGGTTCGATAGTGAGATTTTGATCTGAGGGTCAGAATGGAATTCCGGAAGTTGGAGTAACTCCGTAGTGTTGAATGTGACGTGTGTGCAAAATTTCAGGTCATTCGGACGAGGTTTGATAAACTTTTTGATCGAAAGCGTATTTTGAGAATTTTGGAGTTCTTCAGCTTAAATCCATGGTTAATTCGAGGTTTCGATGTTGTTTTAGGCGTTTTAAGGATTGGTACAAGTTTGGATATTGGTATGTGACTTGTTGGTGCCTTTGGATGAGGTCGTGGAGGCCTCGGGATGAATTCGGATGGTTGACGAAAAGATTTTGGAGTTAGAGTTGCAGCTTCAGTTGTTGGTTCTATCATAATCGCACATGCGGTTTGGGTGGTTCCGCAGGTACGGCGCCGTAGAAGCGGCTCAGAGGTCGCAGAAGCCATTTGACGTAAAAAGGGAGTCGACCGCAGATGCGGTCAGGTAACCGCAGAAGTGGCACCGCATCTGCGGTAAGGTAGTCGCAGGTGCGGAAAGTCCTTCTTTAATGAAATGTCATAGGTGCGACCTTGGCTCCGCAGAAGCGGGACCGTAGATGCGTTCCAAGGGCCACAAATGCGTAAATCGTTGGGCAGAACATATAAATTCTTGCCTTTGTGAAATTTAGCCATTTTTCATCTTTTCAAAATGGGAAAAAGCTTGGGGAGCACTTTTCAAGAGGGATTTTCAGAGGAGTTCATTGGGGTAAGGTCTTTGGTCCCTAAACTCGTTATTGGAATGATTTTTATCAATTTAAGCATGAAAAATTAAGGATAATCAGTGGTAATTGGGGGATTAGGGCTTGTCTAATTGGAGACTTTTGAGTGATGATTTGAGGGACAAATTGAGGTCCAATTTTGGTACTTTTGATATGACTGAACTCGTAAGAGTGCGCGGTTTCTAGAAATATAAATTTTACCCGATTCTGAGACGTGGGCCCGAGGGGCATTTTGGTTATTTTACCTAATTTTGCATATTAGCTTAGATTTTCTTTGTAGAATTAGTTACTTGAAGTGTTATTTACATTATACAATTGAATTGAATATATTTGGGCCATTTGGAGTCGAGTACTCGTGGCAAGAGCATGGTTTTGGATTGATTTTTGAGCCGGTTCGAGGAAAGTGGCTTGTCTAACCTTGTGTGAGGGACTTTCGCCTTATGATTGGTTTATTTGGTAATTGAAATGCATTGTACATGAGGTGACGAGTGCGTACTTGTGCTAATTATTGGAAATCCGGTTTTTCTTTAAGTAGTTACTAGTAATGTTTCCTTTCCTGTGTTTACTACTTGCACTGTTAAGCCTGTTGTTAGCTTAGGAAAGCATGTCTAAGTGATTTAATTACTTTATTTGCTCAAACTGCCTTACCTGAATTCTGTGCAGCATGCTAGTCTAGAATTACTTGTTGCCTTAATATGAAATTTGCCATTTCTGAGTATTTTTCCTATTACTGTTGTGTATTTACATTGGGACTACAGATGTGGGATTTCGGTAGCTCCCCCCCCCTTGTCTATTTATTTTGTGACTACGGATGTGGGATTCTGGTAGCTCTCCCTTGTCTGTTTATTTTGGGACTACAGATGTGGGATTTCGGTAGATCCCCATGCACAGTTATATGGAACTATGGGAATGCACCCGGTAGATTCCCCCAGTACTAGGTATTTATATTTGGGACTACAGAACGGGATTCCGGTAGATCCCCGTGCACTATGAGTTAGACTACGAGACGGTATCCTGGGAGATTCATTAGATATGTACATATGGTACTACAAGACGTTATCCTGGGAGATCCCCAATTGTTAGTATTGGTGCTAAGCTGTATTTCTTTTTCGTGCTTACCTTGTTCTGTATAGTTGTTGTTGTCCTGTACATCTTAGTTATTTTACTGATGTACTTATTTATACTGTTCTGTTCTATATTGTTGATCTTTGTATTTTATTTAACCTCAGTAGGGCCCTGACCTTCCTCGTCACTACCCAACCGAGGTTAGGCTTGGCACTTACTAAGTACCACTGTGGTGTACTTATGCACCTTCTGCGCATGTTTTTCATGTGCAGATCCAGGTACCGCTACTCAGGCCTACCATCCTTGAGGGAGGTGACTGCTCTAGAAACTTTGAGGTACATCTACTGTGTCCGCAGACCGAGGAGTCCCTTTCTATTCTAGTTATTAAACATTGCCCTTCTGTATTTTCTTTCTTGTTAGATATTCTGGAGTTAGACTGTTAGATATTCCAAAGGCTTGTGTTTCTATGAGTTTCCGGGTTTTTGGATAATGTACTTGGTTTTGATAATGTTGTGTTATATATGCCGAGCGACATTATAACTATTGTTTCCATTCAGTTATTTTGATTTTTTTTTTATTTTTTCCGCAAGTTTCGTTTATGTTCCGCATTTGTTAGGCTTACCTAGTCGTAGAGACTAGGTACCGTCACGACAGTTCACGGAGGGCGAACTGGGGTCGTGACAATATATTCTCCCCATTTGATGTATATATTCATTTCCCTTATGTATATATTCATTTTACTTCGTTTTGTATATTCATTTTACTTTCGGTAGTTTACTTCATAACTTCTTTAGTTTGTTTTTCCTTAGTAGTATAACTTCTTATTTACTTTAGTAATTTTTTTTATTTGTTAGCTTCTTTTTACATTTTGTGTGAATAATAAGCCTTTGGTTTTCTTAATGTCACGGTTCTTCCCAATGGTGGATTTTGTGTGAAACGAGTGGCTCTTCCCAATGATAGATGGCATGACAACCTTCTTAAGGGATTGAGTCCGTTTTATTTTATGTTTAGGCAAATATAGTAGTAATGAATTAAAGGGTCTCAAGCATACTTCACTTGGTACCAACACATTTACCTATGATTGTATGGTTAAAAACAAGTTGTAGGCAGAAAATAGCTCTAGTTGTGACCTTTAACTCTTGTGTTGACTTAAGCAGTCATCGAGTGGTTCAGTCGAGCCATTTGTGATTCTCAATCTTAACTAGGGTTTTTGTGGGCCCTCGACTCCGTTCTCTTTAGCAATCGAAAAGCGTGAGAGGTGAGGTATTGAATTACAAGTCCAAGTACCTGTGCTTATAGTCTAGAACTTGCCCTGAATGTTTTTCAAGGCGAAATTTTTAAGTGTAGCTTGGCTTGAGAAATGAACGTAGGCTCTCTTTGATCCGATTTGAAGTTTGAAATCATCCATAGCCTACCAATGTAATATCCCTAATCAACCCATTTGATCCTAAGCCCTTTTTCAATAACCGCATACAAGCTTTTATTTGTTTTGTAATGACCCTCTCCTGGCACCGAATCGTTCTGTAGCATTTTTGAGAAACAATTCGCAAAAACATAAGTTTGGGGGAGAGGCAAGGAGTTTGAAAGTGATACAAGGTACAAAGAAGAGAAAGAAATGAAGGTAATGGAAGGAAAAAGAAAAGAAAGAAAGAACAAAAAGAAAAACAATGCCAAAAAGAAAGTGAATAAGGTAGCAAGTTGAAGGGATTTAGAGAAAATAATGATGAAAGGCATGGAGTAAAGAGAAAAGGTGAAAAATGAATGTCATGACCAAGAAAGAGTGACGTTACGTATCTCTAGTTCCTCTTAGAATAATGAAATTGACTCAAAGAGTCAACAAAGTATGAGTCAAAATGAGGAAATGGAGTGCTTAAGGAAAGACGAACCCATTCTATTTCATCAAGACTTAATTTGATCTAAAAATCCTTCATTACATCCCAAAAAAGCCCTACATGATTTCAAGTTGAGTGAGCTTACATTAATGGAGATTTACATGAGGGGCAAGCTTATGGTACTTAGAGTCGGACTTGTGGAATTCTTTTGAGAGAGATGAGCGAACTTTTCACAATCTTTGATTCCAGTGTTACATTCTAAAGTGAGATTTGCTAATGGAGAGTAGAGGTGGAGGAGTTTGGGATCCACAATGACCTACGTGAAAGAGCGAGTTTCCTTGATGAATAGAGTTAACTCTTGATGCTCTAGTGTCACATTAGAACTATTGTACTCAAAAAGTCAAATCATTGCGTTGTTGATACTTCATATGTGTTGTAGGTAATTGTTGGTCCCAATTGATGCGTAATTGATTCACCTTTAGCCAGCTGAAATATCCCTTTTTCTAGTGGAGGTGGGAATTCCCTTAATTGCTTGAGGACAAGCAAAAGCTTAAGTTTGGAGGAGTTGATAAGTAGGATTTTTGACTGGTTATTTTCTCTCTTTTACTTATGTTTTAGCTCAAAAATGCTTAAAGGTATTCCCAAGAACTAATGAAATGTGCTTTTGTACAGGAATATTGGGAAATGAGCCAAAGAAGTCAAAATCAACTCATAAAGGAGTCAAAAGTGAACAAGAACCAAAACAGGGCAAAATGGCCTATAGTGCGGACCATACAATTCTATTGCGGTTGTAGAAGAGGAGATTCAAAGAGTTAGTTTTTGGGCCAGCTGAAGATGTGCTAACTGCACCATAATTGTGCAGTCACAGAAGGACAAGTGCGACTGCACTCAAAATTATGCGGTCCATAGAAGACAAATATTAGAGAGATGAAACTTTATGTTTAAAGAAGAAATGCGGTCCGCATCATTTTTCTGTGGCTACATAATCAAGAGTGCGGCCGCACTTATTTTTGCGCGGTCCGTAAAAGTCCAGCAAAAGCCAGAGCTCAAGCTCAAAGAATGCGGACCACACTAGAATTGTGCAGTCGCAGAAGCAAGAGTGTGGCCTCAGAAGCAAGAGTGCGGCCGCACTCAAAAATATGCGGTCCGCACAACCTCCGCATGGGCATTTTTGTCAGATATTTTTAGCTTAGTATAAATAGAACTTTTTATTATCTTTAGGTTAAGTTTTATTTTGGGAGAGCACCTGAGCCATTTTTCTTTGTTTTTTTTGGGTAAGTTTGTACTAGATTAATTTTTAAACATTGTCATGGAGGCTGAGAATGTAGTGTTTGGTCGTATATACGAGGAATTGGGGGAGAAAGGTGGGGACATGAAGTTTTTTCGGCTGGCTAAAGCGAGGGAGAGGAAGGCCCTGGATATGGACCAAGTAAGGTGCATCAAAGATGAGGATGGTAGAGTATTGATGGGAGAGTCCTAGATTAAGCAGAGATGGCAGACGTACTTCTATGGTCTTCTAAATGAGGAGGGGGGCCTGGATATAGCGTTAGGGGACTTGGGGGAATTCGGAGAGTCTCCGAGATTTTAGGTATTACAGGTGCATTAAGGTGGAGAAGGTCATGGGGGCTTTGCGTAAGATGAGTAGGGGTAGAGTGACCGGGCTAGATGAAGTTCCAGTTGAGTTTTGGAAGTGTGTGGTAGAGCAGGATTGGAGTGGCTGACTGGATTGTTCAATGTAATTTTTAGGACGAAGAGGATGCCGGAGAAGTGGAGGTCGAGTACAGTGGTACTGTCGTACAAGAACAAAGGTGATATCCAGTGTTGTAACAATTATAGGGGTATCAAGTTACTTATCCATACCATGAAAGTCTGGGAGAGAGTGGTGGAGGTGAGGGTGAGGAAAACGACGTCTATATCCGACAATCAGTTTGGGTTCATGCCGGGCAGCTCCGCTATGGAAGCTATCCACCTTATTAGGAGTTTGGTGGAATAGTACAGGGATAAGAAGAAGGATCTGCACATGGTGTTTATTGACTTGGAGAACGCATATAACAAGGTCCCTAGGGAGGTGCTTTGGAGATGTCTTGAGGCAAAGGGCGTGCCAGTAGCCTACATAAGAGCGATCAAGGACATGTATGATAGAGTTAAGACTAAGGTTATGACTGTCAGAGGCAACTCGGAGCATTTCCCAATTGTTATGGGATTACACCAAGGCTTTGCGCTTAGCCCGTTCGTTTTTGCCTTGGTGATGGATGCATTAGCAAACCATATTCAAGGGGATGTGCCATGGTGTATGTTCGAGTCTAAGGGTTTCAAATTGAGCAGGTCTAAGATAGAGTACCTGGAGTGCAAGTTTAGCGTTGAGTCGAGGGAAGTAGGCAGGGACGTGAGGCTTGGATCACAAGTCATCCCCAAGAGAGATAGCTTTAAGTACCTTGGGTAGATGATTCAGGGGGACATGGAGATTGACGAGGACGTCACTCACCGTATAAGGGCGGGCTGGATGAAATGGAGGCTTGCATTTGGAGTCTTGTGTGACAAGAAAGTTCCACTGATACTCAAAGGTAAGTTTTATAGAGTCGTGGTTAGACCGGCCATATTGTTTGGGGCAGAGTGTTGGCCGATTAAAAACTCTCATATGCAGAGGATGAAGGTAGCAGAGATGAGGATGCTGAGGTGGATGTGCAGGCACACTAGGATAGTCAAGATTAGGAATGAAGATATTCGGAAGAAGGTGGGTGTGGCCCCTATGGATGACAAGATATGGGAAACGAGGCTCGGATGGTTCGGGCACGTGCAGAGGAGAAGCTTTAATGCTCCGGTGAGGAGGTGTGAGCGGTTGTCCGTGGTGGGTACGAGAAGAGGTAGATGGAGGCCTAATAAGTATTGAGGAGAGGTGATCAGGCAGGACATGGTACGACTGCAGATTTCCGAGGACATGGCCCTTGATAATAGGGTCTGGAGGTCAAGCATTAGGGTTGTAGGTTAGGGGGTAGTAGAGCTTTCCTTACTTCATACCGGGGTTGAGGCGGGGTTGGATTAGGATTAAGCTTAGATGGCTTGCAATTTATGTTGAATCCACACTATCTTTGTTGTTTATCTTAACCCCGGGCCTTAGATACAGGTTACTGTTATTGCATGTCATTATCTTTTGGTTGTTATGTTTCAGTTACTATTACGGTTTCTACTGGAGTTACTAATGAGTTGTCTTTTCCTATTTTTATTTCCGTCTTTCTAAGCCGAGGGTCTATCAAAAATAGCCTCTTTGCCCTATCGGGGTAGGGGTATGGTTTGCGTACACATTACCTTCCCCATACCCCACTTTGTGGGATTTTACTGGGTAGTTGTTGTTGTTGTTGTTATATTAACTTCTAAACATTAGGTTTTCTTTCTCTAATCAATTATTATGCATTCTATCTTAATTTCTTATTGTATTTCTTCATTTTTCATAAGTAGCTAAATTTTTAGCTAGGGTTATGGTTCAACCCTAGTGTAGGTACTTAATGGGTGTTTGATTTATGGATTGTTTGTGATTGGGTTAGTGATATTTAGCCTTGTTCATGCTTGAATTCAATAATTAAAGGTTGCAAATGTTGAATCATGCCTATGTGGCTTAGTCTCTACTTGAGAAATAAAGACTAAGTCTAGGAAAACTTGGCTAACAAAAAATTGGGGCGATCTCAAGAAATTGATAGCCCCAATTAAAGAGTCAAATCTAGAGATAGTACGACCCAGCTTGAGCATATATTACCTATTTTGTGCAATACCCATTTGGACTTGAGAAAGACAAATTGGGCAAAATCACTCAAACTACCGAGAGTTATAGAGTAGGTAATTGCGTGTGATTGCTATATTACAACCCTGACTAATTAAACTTGCCCCAGAGTTTACAACCCGTTAGGTAACCACCTAGGTGGAAGTCACGACCCTAGATCTTTTAACATTTGAAAAACAACAAAAACCAAAAATCTTATCTCCTAGTTTCATATTGCAATCAATAGCTTAAAGCAGAAGTAAAAACAACAAGCAATAATGTGGAAGTGTGATTTGAGGCACATCATACAATTGCACTAAATATATACCTAATCCTAATTCTAACTCCCTAAGGATTTGACCCCGATTAGCGTTGGGTTTTATTTCTGCTTCAACTGCCTCACTACCTATATTTTTGGTGTGAGTTTGGGCGACATCAGTGCCACGCGGTGTGCTTGTGGGGAACTTCAGAGAGCATGCAATTTGAGGGCAGTAGCGGCGCGCCACATGTCGCGGCAGAGGGAATTTGGGAAAATGTAAAACATGAAAGTTGTAGACCTTTTAAATATCTTTCCAACGATATATAGTGGAGCCCAAACAGATTTTTGAGAGAAAAGTTATGTGAATTTTACTGGACAATGTGCAGTATGCCTACTCGATTCTTCGTTTCGTTCTTAAAGTGCACTATCATTCGTTGATCCCCGAATACGATCCCAACTTAATCCTTGTGCTTTAATCAGACTTTAAAGCTCTAGAATAGCTTGAATTCATTCCATAACATCTACATCGATCGGAATCACTCCTACAAGGCATAAAATACACATTTAGTGTAAAGCACTGACGATTAAAACTCAAACTCAATTAAAGTACAGTAAATTAGAGTGTAATAAGCGACTAAAATATGTAATTATAGCTTATCATCACTAGTGAATTTACATCTCAGGATTTTACTGATTATTGTATGGCTACTGGAATAAAAGTTGAGTATCCAGTTGCTCATGTTGATACTCAAAATGGTATAGCAGAATCATTGATTAAATGCCTCCAGTTAATAGGTAGACCATTGCTAATGAGGACAAAACTTTCCCTTTTGGTGCAGGGACTATTTTGCATGCAGCAACACTTATACTCATAAGGCTAACCAGTTATCATGAAGTCTCCCCATTATAGTTGGTTTTTGGTCAGGAGCCAAATATTTCCCATCTAAGAATTTTTGGATGTGCGGTATATATTCCAATTGCTCCACTACAATGCACAAAGATGGGTCCCCAAAGAAGGTTGTGAGTATATGTTGATTATGAATCTCCTTCTATTATTAAATATCTAGAGCCTATGATAGGAGATTTGTTTACAGCCAGATTTGTTAATTGTCATTTTGATGAATCAGTTTTTCCAACATTAGGGGGAGAAAATAAATTGCTGGAAAAAGAGATAGATTGGAACGTATTATCTCTATCTCATTTGGATCCTCGTACAAATCAATGTGAACAAGAAGTTCAAAAGATCATTTATATGCAAAATATTGCAAATCAATTACCATATGCATTTACTAACCTTCCACGGGTTACTAAATTACATATTCCAGCTGTAAACGCTCCAATTTGAATGAGTCTAGGCCACGCCTTAAACGTGGTAGACCAATTAGCTCTAAGGATAAGAATCCCCCAAAAAAGGAAATGAGCAAATGATCAAGTTGATCATAACATGGACGCAATTGCTCAAGAGGAGCATAAAGACATAATAATTGATAAGACTTCACAGGAGGTTCTAGTACCTAGAAATGATGAAAATGAAGAGATATCAACAAGTTATGTCTCTACGAAAAAAAGGTGGAACCGAAATATTGTTATTGTAGACAATAATTTTGCATATAACGTTGCAGTTGAAGTAATGCAACAAGATATTTGAGCCAAAATCTATCGATGAATGTAGATAGAGAAATGATTGGCCAAAATGAAAAAATGCAATTCAAGCTGACTTCACTCAAAAAACGTGAAGTGTTCGGACCAATAGTCCGAACGCCTGAAGGTGTCAAGCCGATGGGGTACAAGGGTTTTCGAATAAGCCTGACATTGATTGTATGGAGACATATTCTCATGTGGTAGATGTAATTACCTTCACGTATCTTATAAATCTGGCAGTCCATGAAAAGATTGATATCCGATTGATGGATGTTGTCACTACCTACTTATATGGCTCATTGGACAATGAGATTTTTATGAAAATCCCTGAATGATTTAAAGTTCCTGAAGCACATAAAAGTTCAAGGGAAACTTGTTCAATAAAGTTTCAGAAATCCTTATACGGATTGAAGCAATCAGGGAAGATGTGGTACAATCGCCTTAGAGAGTATTTGTTAAAGGAAAGGTATAAAATTGACCCTATTTGCCCTTGTATCTTTATTAAAAGGTTAGTATTTGAATTTATCATCATAGCTGTGTATATTGATGACTAGAATATCATTGGCACTTCTAAAGAGCTTCCAAAGGCTGTAGAGTGTTTGAAGAAAGAATTTGAAATGAAAGATCATGGTAAAACAAAATTTTATCTTGGCCTACAAATTGAGCATGTAACAAATGAAATTTTTTTCCATCAATCAACATACGCTGAAAAGGTTTTAAAGCGATTTTACATGGATAATGCACATCCATTGAGTACCCCAATGATTGTGAGATCACTTGACATAAATAAAGATCAATTTCGGCTCAGAAAAATGATGAAGAGCTCATTGGTGATGAAACTCCATATCTTAGTGCAATTGGGGAACTGATGTATCTTGCGAACAATACCCGACCAGATATTGCTTTTGCAATAAGCTTGTTAGCAAGATTCAGCTCCTCCCCAACAAGAAGACATTAGAATAGTGTTAAACATATATTTAGATATCTTCGGGAAAATATAGATATGGGATTGTTTTATTCTAATGAATTCAAGTCAGAAATGATTGGCTATGCCGATGCAGGCTATTTGCCTGATCCACACAAAGCTTTATCTCAAACAGGTTATTTATTCACATATGGAGGTTGTAACGATCCGACCGGTCGTTTTGAGATTTTGCACTTCGCTCGCCAGTTCTCGGGCATGACTAGCCTGTGTGATGTATTATGACTTATGTAAATCATCGGTTTGATTTTCAAGATAATCGGAATGAATTTGAAAGAACAGTTCTCAGTTTGACGCTTAAAATTTGAAATTTGACTTGTTGGTATATGATCTCGGATTAGTATTTTTATGATATGGTTAGCTCCTTTAGGTGATTTGGGACTTAGGAGCATGATCGGAATGTATTTTGGGGGTCTGTGGAAGGTTTAGGCTTGAATTGGCGAAATTGGAATTTTGGCATTTTACGGTTGATAGGTGAGATTTTGATATAGGGGTCGGAATGGAATTTCGGAAGTTGGAGTAGGTCTGTTGTGTCATTTGTGATGTGTGTACAAAATTTCAGGTCATTCGGACGAGGTTTAAGAGACTTTTTGATCAAAAGCGGAATTT